ATCGTGAACGAGGCTCAGAACGCTGTCTTTGCCAAGTGCTCTAGTGAGCGGGTCGACTCCACGACCGGAGTGTGCTGCAAGGAGCAGCCTGCCCACTATCTCGGTCGCTTGTACGAGGACGTGGAGACTTGGAAGGCAAGCGCCATTGAGATCGACATGCGCTACCTCGAGCGAGACCCCCTTGCTGCTGGACCGATGGATCTGCAGCTGATCCGGATGGGCTCGAAGGGGATGACGGACAAGATTCTTCTCAACAACGTGGTCAACAGTGATCCCGCAGGTGTCGATGGCTACAATTACAAAGTGGAAGAGCTGTCGCTACTTGCTTGTAGTCTCTTGTGATCCAGCAACTTGCACCAGCTCGTTAAATTTACCTCATGAACCGGATTCCAATCGTGATGACACCGTGTTTCTTCTGCTTTGTCTCAGACTTTGACCGCACGTATGATGGGCTGATAGAGGGTAACTTAGCTTCAAAGTCAAGTGGTTTGCCTGCCCACCGTTGAAGTAGATTCTCCGCTTTTCAGGTGGCAAGCTGGCAAGTTCCAGGCGCTCCTCGTTCGAAGCCCGATGGGCACAGGCAAGTCCGAGCTGGTCAAGCGGATCAAGGTGGAGGAGCCCGCCCCCCAGAAGATTTTGCTGGTCACTTATCGGCAGACGCAGGCGGCTGATGCGCACGGCAAAAACCCCGAGTTTGCCCACTATGCGGAGCTCAAAGCCCTGCCATCCCAGCTGAATGAGCAAGGGGACTTCGTTGCTCCTTTATCTGACAGAGTGCGGTTTCCAAAGGTCGTAGTCCAGTTCGACAGCCTTAACCACCTCCTCGCTGAGAGCAGAGTGGTCGACTCATTCGATCTCGTAATTCTCGACGAGAGCGAGTCCATCCTGGCCCATCTTTCAGCTGATACATTCTCCAACCGACACCGGACCGTCAACTTCCTGATCGAGCTTTTGAGCCAAGCAAAGCGGATTATAGCGCTGGATGGGCATCTGGCTCAGCGGACGTTCGACTTTCTTACAATGAGTGGCATCCCGTGCGGGCCTGTCGTGATCAACAAACATCTACCAGAGCGTCCGCTCGAGTTCACGTTTCTGGAGAAGGACGAGGGGAAGGCTTACTGGGAAAGGTCCATCTGGACTGCTCTAGGGGAGGGCAAGAACTGCGTAGTATACAGCATGTCGTCAGAAGAAGTGTACAGGTTGAGGGACGCCGCGGAAGCCACAGGCTTGCTACAAGCTTCAGAGATACTCGCGATCACAAGGGCTTCTTCTGGGGACATCAAAGGGGGCATGAATAACGTGAACCTCTCTTGGAAACGCCGTTTGGTCATCCTCAGCCCCACGGTGGAGGCAGCGGTCGACTTTTCGGCGGAGTGGTTCCATCGCAGCTTCATCTACGTCTGCGCACACAGCACCACTCCGAGGGGCTTAGATCAGATGAAGAGCCGCGTTCGGAAGCTGAAGGAACCAGAAGTGTTGTGCTTCGTGCAAGCTGGCATCGCTTTGCCGACCAGGACCGGGCTGCGCGCTCAAGTTGCGTGCGATGAAGGTGAATCTATAGCCACTGCGTATTTGCTTGTTGTACCAACGGATCTCATTTGTTGCCAAGTACCGAAGTTTTGGAAAAGCATGACCGAGGAAAAGGGCCGAGCCTGGGCTTAGGGTACGTGAGATGTTTTTGTCGACTCCAGAGTGCTCACGGCGGGAAGTCACGGTCGTCCAGTTTTTGTCAATTATATATATGCCTCTCTGATGCAAAACCTGGACAGCTGCACCAAGGAGGACAGCTGCAGCAAAACCTGGACAGCAGCTTTGCTTGTCTATATTTTGTCCATTGCGGAGGCACGAGCTCGCATTTATGGACATTTTCGAGAAACAGGTCGGGCCGGTAGTAAGCAGCACCTTCGATCTGAATCTATCAAACGTTTATTCTTGTACTCCGCGTGCAGACCCTGTGGGCTCGACTCCGCCTGTCTACCTGACTACCATGGGGCCCAAACAAGCAGCAAGTCGGCGGCTGGGGGTAGAGGAGTCCTATCAGTTCTTGCGTTGGATACACAAGAACGTGGACGCCCGTCAGGAGACGAGGCAACGAGGGGAAGGGGGACAGAGCATCTTCGCGCCGATAGAGGACGCTGTAATGAGGGTGCTAGCACACAACGAAGCTGAAAGCAGCAACAAGAACTCGCACTTCTATGAAGTCTTCACTGAGTTGCTCGAGAGCGAGGGGCATATTGTGAAGGGGGTGCTCCAGTTGGACACCGCGCCAAAAGTCTTGGCTGGCCCGGAAGAGGACGAGGAGGGGCCTTGTCAAAGCTATCTAAAGCGGCGTCTGCTGGAGGCGCCAGACATCTCGCTCGAGGAGGCTAAGCACCTTCAGCTTCTGATTAACAAGAAGCAAGATCGGGAGGGGGACTTTGCGAAGGTGGAGCGGTTCAACTATATGAGGTTTTACAAGATTCGACAGCTTGATGGACCCTTTCTAGACATCTTTGGGGGGCGGCATCTCGACTGCCTCACCTTCCTGCTTCAAGTGGTCGATCCTGCATATCAATTCCCCGAGGACGAGATCGGCAGAGCGAAGTCCTTGCCTCTCATGGCAAAGCTTGCGAAAGAGGTCATTTGTGCACTGGGGCTCGACAATCCGTTGGACTATGAGCGCGTGACAGAAAAACTTGAGGTTCTGAGGTCGAAACTGGCGGCAACGGAGTACTTCCAGGACTACGGAAGATGTGTTCGACTGTTCAGCGGACGCACCATCCAACAGACGTGCGATCTAGGCGATCCAAAGGCAGTCTACCACGCCTTAAACCACATCTTCAACCGAATGGGCGTCCATGTGCGGCAGGTGCGGTTGGGCCAGCAGAAGAAGGCTGACGAGGCTACCAAGAAAAGGGAGTACCTGTATGGGGGATGGCAGATTGAGCCTGAGTGTTCAGGAAGAACCGTAGGCGCAAAGTACATGTTACAGTTGCTCATGTTGCAGGTGGAGGGGTCTTCATTGATGCTCGAAAATCTGGACTCAAGCCTAAGAAGGCTCATAGAAAACGCGCCGTTCCAATACAGGCATCTTGTAGAAGCCCCATGCATGTTGGGGGCCGTAGTTTAGGCTATAGTTCATTTAAAACAGACTGTCAAGTGTAAGATAAACTGATGCACCAAGGAGAAGTTGTAGCTAACATGAAATTCGATTGAGAGATATTTGTGTGCAACAATTCGTATTCTTCAATCAAATCGAGCCTACTAATGCAACACATGGCATGCCTGTGTCTAAACTTGAAACGTAGCTGATAATAACAAAAACATCTTGATGTATGACGGTGTTAGAATTCGCCACATGAAAAAGGTGTTGTTCATAAATGTATTGTTCTTTTTGCGAGGAGATTGATGATGGTCACCAGGCCTCGTGCACAGTTGACCGCGGTTGGGCGCTGGCCATGGCCCTCAAATTTGAAGTCCTCCACCGATTGGAGGACTTCTGGATTTTGCGATTTGAGGTTCTCCCAACTTTGATATGGGTTGATAGACCCGGCCACCTCGCGGATGACGTCCACGACACTCACGCGTGGTGGGGTCTCGCTCGTCTTCCTAATCTTCATGTCCTCGCCCAAGCCTAGCTCCCCGTGGATGATCAGCTGCTTGAGGTCCTCCACGACCCTCGGTCCCTTGACCTTGCCAAGGAAGTCTGCCACGAGCCTGGCGCACTCCGAGCGAAAGCCTTCTGCCCTCTTGCTATCGAGGAGGCCGACTATCATCTCGAAGTCGCTGGCATGGAGGAGCGGGCTCTCCTTGAGGCCGTCGAAGCAATGAATCTCAACATTCAGGTCGTCATCGCCCTCGGCGAGTTCAAGGAGCAGGTCTGACAAGATCGACAGCGGGCTATACATGTCCTAGCGGCTCTCCTCGATGCGGATGCTTGGTAGGACCTCAGGGCTTGGCACCGAGTCCGCTGCTCTATCCGCTTCCTCGCGACCTTCGGGCTCAATATTCCCCGAGTCGACCTGCGATCGTGAGTCAGAAGAAAGCATGATAAGCTGAACCGTTATTTTCAAAATCTGGTGCCAGTACGAGGACTGCTGAGGGTAAGCAAGGCTCACAACCCGTGCCTACGAATAGTCAAAAAATCCCTTACCTCAATGTCTACTTGAGCCGCCTCCTGCACCTCTGCAGCCTCGATTGCTTGGTGCTCTGCCTCAAATGCAGATGACAGGATGGCAAAAAAGGGTTTCATGAAGAAGAAACGGGAATCTATAGACGACTTTGGTAAGAGGCCATAGGTGTTTGTAGGCATTGAAAGTCATTATGAAGCAGATTAGTCCCCCGCCTAGAACATTAATGACTCTGTTTTTGCTGTCCATGCTGTCTACGAAGGCAAATCTTATGCAAAAGTTTGCGTTGATAGCAAATTGGCATGGCAATTACCCTTGCTGTCCAAGCTCTTGTAATATCTTCTGGCAGAATGATCATGTATCAGCTTGTTCCATTACGATTTTGTTGTCGGAATCAAACTGAACACCGGCGGCCCTTAGCCTTGAGATGGTTTTTGCATGCGGCTTTTTGTTTTGTCCAGTTCGAAGACGCATTGAAGCATCTTGAAGCAAGATAGCTTGCTTATGTTTTGCATACCAGGCCGCCTTATATGTAAGCATCCGCTGCTTGTTGCATCTGTACTCAATTTGTCTCTTTAGCCAAAGCGCCTTGCACCTTGGCATACTAGAGTTTGATGACTCGAGAGAGTTCGGAAGTAATGCATTCTGTACAACTCTATGCTTATGTCCACAATGGGTACATGGAATGAGGCGCGTGATGGTCACCTCTGCGCCGGTCGACTCCATCTAGTTGAAGGTGTTCTGATATACTCATAGTTTTTTTTTCCAACGGATCAACGCAAAGCTTATTTACCTTCGGCATCCTTGCAGACTTTGAGTATCCCATTGGCAGTTGACAATAAGAGTGCAGCCTGCTCATCGGAATACCCACCGGACACATGATCTGTTATAGATGCTGTTATTATGGCAAATACATCGTCCCATGAAACAATAAGCTCTTCGTTACAAAGTTGATGAAGCAGGAGCAAAACGCCCTCTCGAAGGTACCCCATATCCACTGGAGCTCTGAGGGCTTTATCGATGAGGCCTTCATAGCGTATGGGTCCGAAGCTCTCGATCTCATCGATGAATGGAAGCAAGCTATATAACCATCGTGCCTGCTTTGGTACATAATACGTATATCCGCGCTCCATTATCCTGACATTTGAAAAGAAAAGAAAAAATGGCATTTCGTTAAGGCCTTTGTCTCTCACTCGACATCGCTGTCGATCTGAACGCATTTGAACGTTGTTGCCTTGCTTCCCCGACCCCTTCTAGTGGCTTTTGCAGTGCCTTCAGTTGTTGATGCTTTCGCTTTACCCTTATCCGTTTGAATCCTCTTGGGAGTCTGATTTGAAGCTTTGCTCGAGGCTTTGCATTTCTTCTCTTGCCACTTTTGTGCTGTTTTCGATGCTTCCGCATGCATCGCAAAAAGTTCTTCATCCGAAATCTTGGTTGCTGATGTTGAGAAGGTACCCTCGAACGGAAGGCCAACAGGTCGTTCGCACTTCTTAATTGGTGAGACCTTCACTTCATAACCAAATTGCTTCTTTGCTGAGCCTCTTGTCGTTTCCTGCAGGAGCACGCACAGAGTGCAGGGTGCTTTGATAGCTGCACCATTACATTTGAGTGCCCTGAATAGTTGGCTACCCGCGCGTGTGCCTGCTTGTGAAACGCGTCCCTTCTCAGCATCGATTTCGAGACGTGTGTCTTCAAGAAGAGAAGACACATCAGATTGCTTGTGGTCAAGGGTTAGTAGCACCTTAAAGCTTCGTTTGAAGCAATCAATATCCATTAGACCGGCTGCATGATGTAACTTGAGATTTAAAACCTGAACGAAAGTGCATCATGCTGCCTGCTTCAGAGGTTGCCCCCCTGAAGCACTTCAGTCGTTGATGTGGCAAGATTGTGACCAACGTTTCTCGTAAGCTGCCCCTATATAAGCTCATTTTCAGCTGCATGAAGCACTCCAAAAAGTTGAACGGCCCCAGTCACTATTCTAGAAGGGAGAGTCCCGATTTCGCGAATTTAGAACTCAAATGTGGGACCCCAAAAGCACAAAAAGCTGGGAGCTTTTGACCGCGTGTTGGAAAATTTCGTCACTTCACAGTTTGAATTCTGGGATCGCAACTGAAGATTAGAGATCAGGTATTTGATTCTAGAATTGAAACGGTGGTGCATCTTAGCAAACTGCGTTCCTACCTGAGGCTTTTGGATTCTAGAATCCAAACAATGTGGTAAGTTTGTTGACCAAGCAGCCATCGTCCTGCCCAAACTTCAGCAGCCAAGGTTGAAATTATGGAGACCAATTCCGGGCCATTGATCCCGGCCAGCCGAGGATTCTGAAGCAAAATTTCCTAGGGGACGCATCTTAAAGAGGTGCCCGTTTCGATTCCAGAATTATTATAGATGATGTATGATATAGGGTTCCCAATTGATGGATTTGGAAGCATCCGTTCAATCGAGTACAGCATCCACATCTGACAAAGGAGGGACTAACGAAAGTGTGCGAACAATTGCATCAGGTGAGACTGCTTTGCGCAACCTGTTTCAAGACGGAAAAAGGGCTGAAATCACGATTTTGCAGTACCTAAAAAGTGTGCGAATGATTTATCATTTAGTCACAGGCGAAAACGTTTTGCCTTCCACGTTAGATTGGATGAAGGATGCATCTATTATCATTGAAAAGCTCGACAAAAGATACCCCAATCCTGGAACTTTCAAAAATAAGGTAACCCCGTTAATGGTCATTGCTCACGAAAAGGGATGGGAAGGCACCTATAAGAAATACTTCGAGAGCTTCTCCGTCAAGAAAGTGGTCCGGATGAAGAAGGCCGATGAGCAAAAGGCTACCGAGAAGGAGGCTGCCAACTGGATAAGCATGACCGAGCTCAAAAGCAAAGCGGAAGAGCTTAACAGGCAGATAAGGAGGAGCATCATGCCAAATCATAAAAGTAATGGTGGATCAAAGCTGAGCAGAGATGAAGTAAAAGTTGTGTATCAGCATCTCTTGATAGCCTTCAATACACTTGAGCCCCCTAAGAGAAGGGATCTCAGCGGTCTCCCTCTCCAGAAAGCAGACGGAAGCTTCTTTTGCGAAGAAGCAAGGGCAGCATATAAGGATACTGGAAACTGCCTTCGTGAAAGCACAGATGGCGATTTCGTGCTTGTACTGAAGACCTATAAAACAAGCCGGCGCTACGGAACACGCGAGTTTCAGCTCAGCCAGAGACTCAGCAACTACATCCAAAGATCCATCGAGCTCATTCCTCGAGGTTTTTGCCTGTCACTCGGTTGGGGGATACAACAGAAGCCATGAGCGATAACTACCTTACCAAATTTACTGGGTCGATAACGTTCCCTTCAGGGAAGCGTTTGAACCAAAACCACCTTAGACACCTCTACATCAGCGAACAATTTGCGAACGATCATTCAATTGCTGAGAGGAAGCAATTAGCAGAGAGGATGTTGCACGACTTGGGGACAGCAATGGTTACATACGAGAGAAAGTGATAAGTGCAGAGTCGAAGTTGTCAAATATCAAGCCGATGAGATCAGTAAAATTGGGTCAGAAGCCCAGGATCCGTCCCAATGGACTTCATCGACTCTCAAACGGACTTCTTGCAGCCGTTTTTCCAGTTCGTTCCTAGTTGAAAAGATCAAGCCGCGACCACTTGTATCTTTGTAACCATCCAGTCCAAGTGTCCGTTTGATGCGACCTATCAACACGTCCTTCTGTTGGGGCGGGTCCTCTTTCGCGCCTTGATTATCTATGAAGGATCTGTATGTTCGGAAGATGGTGGCGCTTAGCACCTTTGATTTCGAATCTGCTGAAAAGTTGCCGTTGTCCAGCGGACCGCAAATCATTTTAGCCCAATATGGGATTGAGTGCTCCCTGATGTAACGATTACGACTGGTTAAGCCTAACCTCGTTCTCGACAGGATTTCGTTGACCGCGGTATTAGCGAAACGGCGGTGGTTACGTCTTAACAACGCACTGCGTAGCTGTCTGCAAGACGGCGTAATATCCCGGATGGATCGGCTTCAGTGAGCCGATGTCACCGTTCAGGATAAGTTGTG